CCCCAAAACCCCAAAACCCCAAAACCCCAAAACCCCAGGGGATTTTTAATTTTATTTTAGTTGGAAGGTCTAGAATTAATTTAAAATAAATACTACTTAAATATTTTTCATCATTTTTGATCATCAAATCATGATTGCTAATAATGATAGTCTACGCTTTCTCTTTTTGTCTTTTCCACCACACTGTCCTTGGCATCTTTAATAATTTTTTCTATTTTTTCCAAATATTTGATCTCGTTCTAATTTCTATTGTACTTCAACTACGTTTAGAATTCATCCACTATTACAAAGCAAAATTAGGCTGAAATAACTTACACAAAATTCTACCTTCTCTTGGGATATCTTGAAGAAGTTTGCCTTTTTATTTTGTATCATACGAGCTTGTCACCTTATTGATACCCCCAAATACATTATGAGATCCAAAATTTTAAGAGAGGTCATCGCTGAGTTGCCTTTTCTTTTTGTAGTTGAAAGGATTAGTTTCTTTGGCAAGAGTTGACTTCAACTGAATCTTCTTCATTTGAAAGAACTCATTTGATTCCTCAAGGGCAGGCTAGCAATCTTTTTTAAACAACTAAACAAACTAAGTAATACATCTCTTAGCCTCAATTTCATTCCTTGGAAACTTAAGTTTCCTATGAATTGTTCTTCTCTAGTGCTTGTGTACCTTTGAATCAATTAACCTGCTTGACATAAGTGCTGAGTAATCTATTTCTACTGATTTTTTAGTTGCCTCAAGACATTTTATTAAATGATCTTTGATGGGTGAGACATGTTGACTATAATTGCTTTTAAATGGATTAAGTGTTGATTTTTAACTATCTATAGTTCTTAATTCCTTATTGGAACCCTGCCTTTTAAATTACTTTGCATCTATTTATCTCAAAGCAAATCTATCATTGAAAGTGTGATTCATGATAACTCTTAATTGTCCTTTGACTTAGGTATTGGTGCCCTATTCTTTCAATTTTTCCAGCTCTTTTACTACTCTCTAGACATGCTACTTTTGTCTTAATTCCTCGCCTGAATGCAAATAACTCTCCTATGTATCATAAGATTTTCTTTTTCTAAACCATTCTATAGTCGATTTTTCTTTGAGCGTATTAAGTGGTTTGAATTCCTCAATTTTAGAATTAAACCAGTCGTAGTCATGAACAGGTTGAGGGGGTTACCTCTATTAAAGTTAATTAAAAGTCTAATCCATTTAATTATATTTAAGAATAATAAATTAAGTCATATATCAATTCGATTATTGAAAAATTTCATATAATTGGTTTTCTAATCTACCTCTAAGCCCTAGAATTTGACTTTATTTAAGGGAGCAGACTAGTTGGCTTGTTCATTTGCATTCACTGACAAATCATGACTCACAATGTGATGTCTTTTCTTTCTGCCAATTCGTTTAGTTTCTTGTTCATGTGTAGTTGTTCCATTTGACTTCGGAGCAGATGCTTGCATATAATGTTCACTCAAAAGTTGCTCATTTCTTTCGTTTTTGTGAATAGGATTGTTGTTAGTTTACCCTTGCTATGACCGCTTAACAACTCTACTACTCTTTCTTACATCCTTAGGCTCTCTTATAATTTCAGCTCCTGCAGTAGAAGAATCATCTTCAACTTAGATTTGCTGATTGTATATTTAGCTTAAATTACTACTAAAGTTGGTTTTATTCAGATTGTGGCATGCTAAATCATCTATTGTATTAATTGTTGTATTTTGATTTTAAGGCTCTTTATTATGACTGGCGCTGTTTCTTTTATTCTTTTTGCTTGTTGTATTATTTCCAGAACTGAGATTGTTTTCAAGATTTATTACTTGATATTCGCAATCATTATTACTAAATATAACAGATTTAGGACTTAGAATTGCTCTTTTCTTAATGGCACTGTAATATTTCTACTTTTGAAATCTAAATATATTATTTGATCTTGTCGAAGGAAACTGATAGCCTTTTTGAATGGGCTATTATTACTAAGATTAATTTGGAATGCTAGAGAGATTGCTTGTTATGTTTGATGCGCCAATTGATTATTATTAAAAGTTTTGATGAGGTTACATCTCTTGATAAAGCTGAAATTAAGATACCTGAGAATTGATTCCTTGAGGAAGCAATAACTCTTGATGATTTGAGTCCTGCATATAAAGTCGCATCTAATTTTGATTGCTGCTCTTGATCTAAGTCATGTTAATATCCACCGACTATAGATCAAAATTATTCATATTCTTTGAGAATCCTGTTTGATTGAAGTCATGTGATGATTTTTTAGATCTCAAGTTGGCACTCTTCAAGGTATTTTGGGAATTATTTTCATTCTATGATAAGTGCATAAAAATGCCTTTCTTTTCGTCTCTTGATTAATTACTATACAAATTCTTGGCCTTATTAGAGTTAAGTTGTTCCTAGCTCTCCTAAGTAAACTTCTAATACAGCGAGTTAAATTTACTTTGAGTATTATGTTGACTGGTGCTTTTAAAGCCAAAGTTCTCACTAGTTGTATCGCTTAAGCCTGAGAGAACATAGTTAGCAGTGTTGCTTGTAATATTATCTTCTTACTTTCTAGTAATTGCTGGTGTATTGTTTTTCTACTTTCTTTTCTTCAAAATTTCGGCATCCTACAGCTGCTGCTACTAATAGTTTTGACTCAAGAGAGCAGATTTGTCCAGAGCAGTTCTATTATCCTTTGGAGCTTTCTTGAAATTAATATCATCTTAATAGTAAATATCAGAAGCATTGTTTTGTGATAAGGCACTTTGATTGTTAAGATATTTGGCATCATCAAGAAGTTAATAAGATTAATGAGATATACGGTTTTGAGTTTTCTATGGCTGCTATTAATTATTATTGAAGCCACCTTTATTGTTAATAATAGCATTAAAGTGAGCCTATGTGTATTCAAGTGATTTCAGATCTGTCACAATCTTGTTTATAATTAAAGGATTATCATTCATGGAGTTATAGTTATTAGCTGACTTTCCCTATATAATATAGAAACCTGAGTTCATCATTTATTATTTTGAGTAAATTGGAATAGCTGATTTATTGATATTTTGAGCAACAACATTCTATTACAAAAGTCTCGATTTCTAAATGTGTGATTGCTATGTGACCTTCTTAATATCTTCTGATAGATTTTAGGATTTCCTCTTTTTCTTCATAAGATTTAAATTGTTCTTTTCCTATTCATTCATCTTCTCTTTATTAGTCAACTTCTTTTAAAGCTGAGAATTGTTATTATCCTTTAATATAACAAAAGGTGCTTTAGTTTGGCCACTGAAAGGCTATCTATTTTTCTTAATTTTAACATTCTTTTTCTCGGTATTATAATAGTCGTTGAATTGATTTATAGCCCCCTTAATATCCTCAAAGAGGTAATTCTACTCTATTCCTGTTAATTCATCGTCTTAAGGATCGGAATCACTCCCAGAAAGAGCTTGTTCGTTTTCTGCATCCTCATCAATAAACTTCTATTCTTCATCCTATAATTATTGCCTCTTCTTTTCTTCTTTTTTCAGTTCTTTGAAAATTTATTTAAGAGATCTTATCCCTCCAGACACTCCACTCCTTCTTATACCTCCTAGACTTATCATCAAGGGAGTTTGATTTTACTAGACAATATTATCACTTATGTTATTATTCTAAGGAGGCTCATTTGGATTTTAAGCATCATGAACTTCTGTTGCATCTTATGCATTGCTTTAGATTACTCTTGGGCTAGTTTTTTTGCTGACCTGATTATTAGAATCTTTAGTTTTTTTCTTTTTAGATTTTTCCTCCCCTGCCTGCTTCTTTTTTTTCTTTTTCTTATTAATTTCCTTCAATTTTTTCTAACGATCTTCCTCCTCAAGTATTAGCATGTATTCATACAACGAATTGACTAAGTGCTCCCCCATTGATTCATAAGTATCTTAGTTAAATTCTTCAGTAATTCTATCATCATTGAGGAATCCATGGAATGATGCCTCGAATGTAAAGCAATTCATGATGTTGAATTCCCTCCATAAAACTATTCTAGCTGCTTTTTCTTTTGATTTTTCGATTCTAAACTTGCAAGAAAAATATCTAAACTTAGTAGTCTCCTCTGATAATAGCTTAGGTATAATTCTCATTTTTAGATATTTTTCAGAGTGTAATGGAAAGTAGGGCCCATAAATAAATACATTTTTCTTTCTAGAATGTCCATGCATATCAATGAAAGCAAATACCTCATCATCTTGTGGCTCAAGCTGCTCTTCTTCACCTTTTTGCTCTCTATTTACAATACCAGAAATGAGCGACTTTATAGCGCAAACAGATGGATGCAACTTTTCATCTGGACTATGATATTTTCTGTTTAAGTCATTTCCTGATATTGATGTTCTATAGTTTCCAACAATTACACCATCTGGATTTATCATTGGGATAATTTTAAAAACACATCTCTTTCTAAGTTCTTGAGACTGTAGTGAATTTCCTAATAAATAACGTATTAAACCTTGCATCATATAAGAGGAATTTGATTCACCAGGATGTACCCTGGCGCATATCATAATTATTTTCTTCTTCTAATAAAATGGTAAAGAAATTCTACTGTACGGACTATCAAATTCTGATAGCTTAATTAGTTGGAATTCCTTAGGATCACTTAAAATTCTACTACTTATTGTTAATAAAGGAACATCAACACCACCTAGAGATTTGCATAAGGTTGCATCTTTAAAATAGTCAAAGTTATTAAGCTTTGCAAGCACTCTCTAATCGTTTAAAAAGTCCTATAACTTACTGAAAGTATAAGGGTAAGCATAGCTGAAATAAATCTTGTCTTATCTTTCTGTAAAATGATATACAAAACTCATCATATTATAGTAACGGACTTTTGCTTTCTCTTGATTTGATCTTCTTACAACTCTGGAATTCTAGTATATTATATCATCTCCTCCTTTTTCCCATTTGTAATCGTGAGATCTTCTACTAATGCATATGCGCATGCCTTATGTATAGAGTGAATGCTTTTTAGTAAAATTCACGAAGTTAAACTTCACTTTTTGGTTGTAGAAAAACTCGTTGTATTGAACTGAGAAATAGAACCACTAATGATGTCCACGGGTGTTTGTGTCTACTCTCATATACATATCATATTCTAGATCTTTTATTTTTATAACCATATCTAGATTGCCTGATTCAAAATTTGAGTCAAATAGCAACTCTGGAGTTGGGCTTACAATACTAGGATTCATTCCTAAGAATGGTCAAGGTGGTTCTTGTCTATGAGTGGATTTGATTATCTATTCAATCATTCCAATGTTTGGTGGAACTTTAAAGACATAACTATTATTCAGTTTTAAGGGACCTGATAAATTTGTCTGATTAGCAAATAGCTTATGTATGGCCAGAGAGTGTTTATATCTTGGACCAAGATATAAAGGATCATACTCTTCATTAGTAATTGGATTAATAGGTATAGAAAATTGTTCGAATTCGTAGTATAGAGGAATAGGTGCTCCACTTATCTCATCTTTTGGTTTCCATCCGAATTTCATGTCTGGTGACAGCGATACTCCTGATTAAATTAGAGGCATCAAAAGTTCATTCTCCTTTTTTTTCATCTCTTTATTAAGATCAGTCTGCTGGTTGATCTCACTGTCCAGGTTGATTTCATCAATCATATTATTTCCATAACTGAATTAATCTCCTGCATAACATTCCTCAATTTTAGGTCTCGTCTTCTCTAATAGAATATGTTAAATTATTTCTTGAAAATTACAAGGTTTAATCTGTGCTGCAAGTTAGAAATTTTACTCTTATCCCACTTCCTTCTCACCCTCTGAGGAATTATCCTCGTCATAATCCTCAAATTCAGATTCCTGATTCTGAATTTAGATGACCTAAGTTGCATTTGCTTCAGATTTATTGATGTTAGGATTGTTTTTCATCAAGTTATCACGATCTCACGACCTTTTCAAATATTCATCTAACTTTGATATCTTTCTTACTAGAAGCACATTCTACTCTGAGTTATTTTTTTTGGTAAATCTGTTTATAAAGTGGTTTAAAAGTATGAAATAATTACTATCTCTAGGGTTAATTATCATTGTTCTCAAGTATTTACTGCATTATTGATTTAATTAAATATTTCAATTAACTGACTGCTAGTTTTTACGAAATTTTTATTTTTATCAAGGGGGTTTTGGGGTTTTGGGG